CGACAGTTTCCCGATATTGCGTTGGCCACCGCTAAGTGGATGCACGACGTCAGCTTCCAGCGGAAGTTGACCAAGACATAATTTATAAGGACGAAGAAATAATTGAACCTAATTGAAAAAGGTATATCTCTCTTGCATCCGGTTTCTGTAGACAAAAGTGAAATGGTAATCGAAAAACCCAATGTCTAGCTCAGGACAAGGAGGCTCAGGATGAAATAAATGGATTCAGAGGGACGGCCCGGACCAAGGCCCGGACATCCCAAAAACCAATCCACTCACGTGAAGGACCCCGATGTAGCTTCGAGTCCTACGCGGACCCCGATCACCTGACCCACGCGCCGCATAATACAGTCCTCGATCCCGTGCATCCTCACGTCCCACCAGCGCTCGCCCCGCGGTATACCTCAGGCATCCCCCCGTTCCCGAGTTCCACCGCGCATGGACAGCGAAACCTGCGCGTGCGTCGTGCCAAATCCCTCTCCCGCGAGCACGAGAGCGGGCGGCACCTGCAGACGACCCCGATTCTTAAATGCCTTCGAGCCTGCACGAGGGTAGTCACATGTGTCTACTGCGAGTACTGTACAACTTAATGGAGAGAAGTGTATAATATTGAGTATACGGGTTAGTTTGTGGGTAGTCTACCACCCATAACGAAGTATCTCCAGCAAATTGACAAAGTCGAGCGTCCCGAGACCTGTGACCTAAGGGACAAAGAGTTAGCCAAAATCAAAAGATGAATAAACACAAGTTCGGGACGCACAGGATCCCATCCAGGCATGGCCGCAAATCCAGGTGTATTGCAGCCCGGATTCGATCCCCTAGTGATGTCATTGAGGCCCGCGAGCCCGCCACCGTATAGCCATGGGTTGAGGAAGCCGAGCGGCCGCCTGCCGTTTGAAATCCTGTAGTCATTCAACAGGGAGATGATGCCTGCAGCGGCCTATACGTTTAATTGGCAGTCAGAAGGATGCCCGAGGGAGGAGGATGCAGAGAGGAGAGAGCTTCGATGAGGGAAATTCGCACCGGCGCCGCACAGCTCGTGCCACTCGCGATCCGACGCTGTCCGTTGAAGATGTATTCGAAGTCACGCGCCTGTAAGGCGATATCGGGAACGCCACGGCCCCCAGCGCTGTATTGGTTAGACATGTGAAGATTGGTCAGGTCTGCTCACGGTAGGGAACGCACTTGTAAAGGCCGTAAAACTGGCTGCCGAGGTTCTGGAGGAAGGTGGGCACGCCGCGGTCCTGGTAAGGTGGTCGAGGAAAGTAGACTGAGAACCCGCCACCTGAGATACGAGCGGCTACCTCCGGGTCGGAGCCCGTTGTTCCGCCGACGCTGGTAACCCAGGGACCTACGAATGTGTGGGTATGGTGAGTGATCTGGGCCAGCCTTGTGTGCTATTTTAAGATAGCGAGAAACCAGTACACATACACGTTGAGGGAAAAGTGGGAAGGAACCGGACATGGCCGTCTTGGAACCGACAGTTCCCGCGGCCGACACCGGCATCGCCGCTCGCGAAAAGGACGCTGGCACCACGCGCGGCGAGCCGCGCGAACAGGTTACACACCCAAATCGCATGATCTGGCGGGATCGTGTACTCGTCCTTGCCGTAAGAGGAGCTTATCGTCTGCGGGACGAGCACCCGATCGAGCATATAGTTGAGCCAATTGATGAGGGGATCTCCCAGGGTGGTACCGACGCTGTAGAATATATGCGTGGCCGGGAATGCCATGGCCTCGGCGTACTGGATATTGACGTTGGACTCCATTGCTGGGTTGCTCGGGTCGTACACTCCTCCGTTAACTGGCGCGACAAGGTAAGTTGCAGAGGTCGCGTCGGAGCGATAGTCGTTCATGAATATCCTTAGATCATCAGGGTCAGGGGAATCGCCAAGGAGTCCCAAAACGCCGAGCGCGTTATACTTTGCCGCAGTTGGCACGTAGGAAGATGTCCTGTATAGCGAACGCAAGATTGCCGGCGTAACAAGTTCTTCGCGGCTCGACAAACCTGTCCTGAGCTCTCCTGCCGCTTCCTTCGACCGCGCCACTGCTTCTCCGCCCTGGCGAATGAGAGGATTCTGCAGCGACGTGTGCGGAAAGTCGAAATGTGTCGTCGGTACGACAGTTTGCACGTGCTCGAGAAGCCCCCCAGGGAGCCCATAGCTAAGCGTACGGAGAACCGTCGTGTTCGTCTCGATGTGATGGTACAGCTGGTACGATGCTTCCAGGAGATCGTTAGCTCGCGATACGGGCATCCCAATCAGCGTTAGCCAACTCCCGCCGTGTTTCGTTGAGATGCTGGAGGGTCGCACACGATGATGTTTGAGCCAGGCGTTGACGAGATCGAGCACCTCTGTTGGAGGCGCGACAAGCTCAGAGACCTGCTCTTTTGACAGGTGCTCGCCGTATCTTCCACGGAGTAGTGGCACTTTTTGGTGGGTACGGTGTGCGCAAAAGGGTGGTGGAGAGGACGTACTTTGGATGGTCAGGACTGCTGACCTCATTGAGGGAGTCAATCAAGGCGTTCTCGTTTTGCGGCTTGAGTGCAATGTGGAGATCAATGGTGGTATCAGCGGCCGGGTGGCCCAGGTCCATCCAATCATCCGGCACCGAAATCCAGCTGTGCTTCACATGTACGTCTCCCCAACGTGTTGTGAATGGCGTGGCGAGGCCGCAAAGGAGCGTGGTGGCCAAGGTACAGAGCACGGAGAGCATGTGATAGTAGCGCATGATATTCAGTACGATGAAACCGATCTAAGCGACCTTCAAAAGTTAAGAAGTTGAAGCCTGAAGGGCTAGACGTTTAGAGAAGACGGGGCGTTACGCACCAGAGACAGCTTGAGTGGCTTGGAACTTTGATGGTGGTGCTCCTCGAACCTGAAATCGTCAGCAGCGCCGCCTCTATAAAAATAGAGGCAGATCCTGGAGGCAGATGCAAAGTTCCCAGATATTGACGTGGCCGCTGCCAAGTGGACACGCGACCTCAACTTCTAGCGAAATTAGACCGAGACATGAACCCGGGTGAGGGTAAAGCCTAAATGAAGCTTGAACAGGGTACTATATCCCACAATTTACCAGGCCAAACCCTCTTGCTCCGGTTTTCTGTAGACACGAGAGAAATACAAGACACTCTATAGCCAAGAAAATGCCATGTCTGATAGATCTGATAGTCGGGCAGCCAACAAGAGGGCCGTCCATCAAGTTGAGGAACAAAAACATCACAGCCCTCGGACCTCCAATGCACCTTCGAGGCCTACGCGGACCCCGATGACCCGCGCCACGCGCCGCTCAATCCGGTCCTCAAGACCATGCATCGCCGCGTCCCACCAGCGCTCGGGGCCCTTCGGTACCGCCCGCCACGACCCGCGGTGCAGCTCGCGCATACCCCCGAGCCCCAGCTCCACCGCGCGCGCGCGCGCAGCGGCACCCTGCAAGTGCGTCGCGCCAAATCCCTCTCCTGCAAGCACTAGCGCGGGAGGCACCGTGATGCGTCCTTGCTTGAACACCATCACGTTGACCGAGATGCAGTGCAGCGTCGCGCCGTCCGGTTCGGGCTCGTGTGCCGTGGCGGCCGCGGCGCGCACGGCATCTGCCGAGAGATCCGCGCTGGAATCCGATGGGGTCGGAGTGGGGGAGGGGCTATCGCTGTCGATGCCATTGGTGATGGCTGGGGCGGTTCGCCGCAATCCGGGCTTGTGGCGCGAGACGAAGCGATGGACGACATAGAGCTGCGTAAAACGGAAGTTAAGCAAGGGTCAAGATGGTGAATGAATGAATCGTACCCATTTGTGGTCCCATCCGACAATCTGCGACCGCACCTCGTAGCGCGCAAAGATGGGGATCTCACGGATGAATTGGAAGTGCGTGCCTGCACGAGACGGGAAGGTCAGTAGAGTCGCCAGGAAGGAGGGCGACGCTTGGACATACCAGCTAGCGCGATTGCGCCCCCAGCGATCACAAAGGAAGGCAAGATATTCACGACACTGTTTGAACGCGCCACATCAAGGACCTGTTTTCGTGCCAGGGTTCAGCCTCTGCGTCTCACCCAACTCGAACTGCGCAGGTCCGAACGCCCAGACAGGAACCACATCATTCACCTTCGAGTACGACGAGTTGCTAAGATGCCAGTTGTAGTCACAATCATCAGGTCCTGACGAAAAAAGAGAGCAGCGAAATAAGTCAATATGGTAAAGAGAAGTAGAGGAGGAAGCATCCCCGCACCTGCCCAGGATTTTGTCACTGAAACGTGGTCAAGCGGATTTTGGCCAACGGGCACAAGGTAATCGCAATTCCTGTGCGCGTCTTTTTTGCTCGTAGAAGACGAGGAGAACGTGCGGATGCGCGCACGTCGCGAGAGCCACCACACCCTTGAGAGGGGCCAAAACAACACTCTCACTGATAAAAATTATAAGCAATCGCGATGATGAAAAAACGAACTATAACAACAGAAGCCACGTACAGTGCCAGACCAATGGCAAGGATCGCACATTCAGAATGACAAGCAGAAAAACGACGGATTTGGCGAGCCCCGGCAAGAGGCTGACGCTGACGGAGAGAGCTGCAGCTGGGGAGAGGGATGACATGAGGTGAGGTGTTCGGGTAGTGCCCACGAGGGTGGAAATGGATGAGCGAAGAACCATACTGTATTGCTTACTGTAGAGCACTGTAGTAATACTGTAAGGGCTTCCCAGAGATGCTATACAGTACAGTATCTCCGAGCTTGTTTCATTGGGGCGAAAAAGAACTTCCCTTACGTTCTTGTTCGGCTTTCGGCAGTCCCGACTGCCGGGTCGCAGGGGTAACAGTTTTCCGTCATTACATCATGCTGTAATGCCGTACGTGAGAATTGTAAACTTTACTCGCAACTTGCAAACAGAAATCTAACCTTGAAGTTACTGTATATGAAGATATGTATGTAGGTTGAGGTACTGTAGTTCTGTTGGTCTGTTGCGATAAGGTACTACTGTATTTTTAAGCGGGAAGAATGAAGGCAAAAAAAAATGCATTGGCCGGGAGTCGAACCCGGAGCTAGGCCAAGATGGAGAACCATGGGAAGACCCAATGTTACCGCTACACCACCAATGCTCAATATGTTAATTCTTCCAAATTATTATTGGAATTTTTCATGGTCAATGCGTAAGTGTTGTGTGACCCGGGCTGCTGATTTTTCTCCTCTCCCTTTCTCTTGTTTTCCCAGTTCTGACCTCTCAACTAAACTGCCTTATATCCCGATTATTTTCTCCGTGCGTGGCTCAAGTGTTAACAGTTCAGCAGCGTCGTGTCGAGCCTTTATGCTTCAATCCTCACTGACTGCACCGTTGCCAGATTTTCCTCTGTGTCGCTCCGACTTGAACCCAAATCTAGTTGCTGACCGATCATATGCGTTTTTTTTTTCAATGGAGTGGCACTCTGAGTTGCTGATGGCTTTTGATAAGTTGAAAGTGGTGTCATCGTTGCATCGCATGGACGTGAAGCGGGTCCAGATTCGAGATTGGTGCAAGCCCATCCCATGGGCCGCAAACCAAGATAAGGGAGGAACGAGCTTCGCGTATCACACGTCGAAGCTAAGACTTGAATTTCACCTTGAAATCTCGTTGTCAGTCAAGGTCGCGCCTCCTCTTGCATATTCGACAGTGTCACAACCTAGGGCCAACTTGAAGGGGATCTACGGCTAAAGTGTAAGTTCCCTTTCACCCCCAACCTTAGATATCCCGTAAAATCTTTGGCCGGGCCATCACTGTCTCAAAGACGGACTCTCTGCGACACTTCTCTCGAGCCTTCTTAAGTTTGATGATTACGTAAAATGGTTGTAATGTGGATGCTTTTTCTGTGATTTCCAGTAACCAAGCGATTTCACCCGCTCTTCTTGCTTTCTTTCTTCGCATCGAGCGCCTCGGCGGCATCGGGACACCTCGCATCACATTAAGAGAATTACCATGAGAGTACGAATGAAATTCTGTACCGTCCAACTTACGTACCCACCGACACCACGATCGATCTCCACTTTGCACTCAAAAGCCTAACATGATGCATGATAACGAACGAATCCCTTTATGACGTCGGCAGCGGACGTCCAAAGTGCGTCCTCTCTATCGTCCCTGGTAAATACGGTGTGTACCTCTCAAAAAAAACAGATGTTGAGCTTGCTGCCCTCGACAAGTTGTAGAACTCTCGGTGTAGAACTCTTGGGGAGATGGGGAGATAGTGGTGCCTGAATTCACGCGATCAACGGGTGTTTGCATCCTCGGTTTAGCCGCGGATACAGTCGCTGTTGTGCATCTCTTTTGGGGCATCTCCTTCATTTTCGCTGTTGATTTTGGTTCGTAAGATTCTCCATAAAAGTTCCGCTCTCCAGCTAAGTTCAGCGTCTACGATAAGCTCTAGTTCCTTCGTACTTCAAACCTCCTGTACTTTCTTAACTTGCACCTTGAATTTGTTTATCGCAAAGATCATGCGCCTTCACCTACTCTCTGTACTTTCTGTCTTCGCGGTTCGGCTCCTCGATGGCCTCGCAATACCCTCATCAGATTGGGATGATGTGCATCCCAAGCACATATGGTATTCTGTACCGGACAGCTGGCACAATTTAGGTCACCCGCCTGCTGATACCACCATCGATATCCACGTTGCACTCCAGGCCCAAGATGAGAACGCCTTAATTGATGCCCTCTATGACGTTAGTAGTCCCGGTCATCCAAAGTGCGTCCTCACCACACTTTCGCCCACTCAGTACCTACACACGTATACTGCTGCCTTGTGGTAGATATGGAGCGCATCTATCAAAGGAGGAGGTCGCTGAGCTTGTCGCGCCGTCCCCATATGTCCTCGAACTCGTCAACGCCTGGCTAGATCACCACGGTATTCTCCCCTCCACCGTCTCAACGAAACACGGCGGCAGTTGGCTGATGCTCAGCGGCGTGCCTGTGTCCCAAGCGAACCGTCTGCTGAGGGCTTCGTACCAGCTCTATCATCACATCGGGACGAACGAGACCGTTCTCCGCACGCTCAGCTACGCACTCCCCGGGGCGCTGCTCGAGAAGGTGCAAACCGTCATACCAACCACACACTTCGGCTTTCCGCGTGCGCACATGCCCAAATCGGTCATGAGGCGTGGAGGGGCAGCACCGGCCGGAGCCGTCTTGCCAGCACCTTCGCCTATTCCATCGAGCGGTCCGGAACCTGTCACGCCGGCGTTGTTGCGTTGGATGTACAACATTTCTGGCTATTACCCCGCTTCCGTGGACAAAAACATTCTCGGAGTCACGGGCTTCCTTAATCAGTACCCAAACCCCGACGACCTGAGACGATTCATGAATGAATATCGCTCCGACGGTACCTATGCGACCTACACTGTCATGCAGATCAAAGGCGGAAGCTACCACCCGAGCAGCCCGGGCGACGAGGCAAGCCTCAATATTCAGTATGCTGAGGCTATAGCATACCCGACTCCGATCACATTCTACAGCACCAGCGGCGCGTCGTACGAGGACGATATGTTCTTCAATTGGCTTGACTTCATGCGCAACCAGCCGAGTGTCCCGCAGACGGTGACCATGTCATACGGCTCTAGCGAGTCCCGAATTCCTCCAGATTACGCGAGGAAGGTGTGCAACCTATTCGCGGAAATCGGCGCGCGCGGCTCTACCGTCCTCTTAGCGAGCGGCGACCACGGCGTCGGGGAAGGGAATTGCCGGTTCGACGACAGCTTCGGCAACTCTTATGTCCTGTTCTCCCCTGCTTTTCCTGCATCTTGTACGTATGGCGTTTTTGTCTCAAACACGGGTGTTAGCACAGATCGCTCACTACACCACCCACGTATTCGTAGGTCCTTGGGTCACCAGCGTCGGCGGAACGACGGGCTACAAACCGGAGGTGGCGGCTTCTTTCTCAGGTGGCGGCTTCTCAATCTACTTTCCGCGGCAGCCTTACCAGGACCACGCCGTGTCCACCTTCCTTCAGAACCTCGGCACCCAGTATTACGGCCTTTACAAGTGCGTTTGCCACTATAATTTGATCTCATTCTCACTTGTTGTAATTGGTGCAGCCCGGGGGGGCGTGGCGTTCCCGATATCGCTGTACAGGCAATTGACTTCGATTTCTTTCTCGACAACAGACTCTGGTACATGGATGGCACGAGCTGTTCCACTCCGGTGCGACATTCCCCCCTCGACGCGCATTTCTCTCTGCATCCTCCAAATCACTCCTTGAGAACACGACTAACTGCTTACATACAGGTCGCAGCGAGCATCATCTCCCTGCTGAATGACTACCGGCTTTCAAAAGGCATGCGGCCGTTCGGCTTCCTCAACCCATGGCTATATACCGTCGGCCTTGCAGGACTGAGGGACATCACGTCAGGATCGAATCCGGGCTGCAATACTGATGGATTTTCGGCCACCCCTGGATGGGATCCTGTGCGTCCCAAACTCATGTCTCTCCATGTTTCGACGTTGGCTTACTCTTGGTCACCTAGGTTACAGGTCTCGGGTCGCTCAACTTTGATAGACTGGAGGAAATACTTGATGATGTGTCGTGGACTGGATAGTCCTTGTGCGACGCGGTGGAATGGTTGGTTGGTTGGTTGGTTGGTTGGTGGGGCGAGAGCGAGTCGTACAAACCCGAATTTAGAATGAGCGTGGTGCCTCCTGGATAGATAATGGGAGGGCGCGTGCCTCGATCAGCCGGCAAATAAGTGAGGAAATGGAGTATGATGGAAGAATGGCGGCGAAAGTATGGTGGAATTCTAGGCGTGGTAAACGTTGGTCTGGGTTGGCCAGAACCGATGGGAGAACACATGCGCTGATCAGCTGATAGCGAGTAGCATATAACGTCTTATAACTAACACAACGACAAAAAAGGTATGGTAGGGTGCTTGTGAGTAGCCAGCAGCAAATACTGTAGCGAATACCGTCTGAGGAACAGGGTGGTGAAAACATGCCAGTGGTGGGTGGCAAAACGACCAATAGCGGGTATGCGTGGGAATTGAAATACAGTAGCACATAGCAAGTAGCATTTGGTGGACGAGAAACAGGTGATGACGTGTAAGAAAATAGCAGGGAGGTGGCTAAAAGCCCGATTGCAGGATATATACCATGATTAACCCGCAGCGGATGGCAAGAAAAAGCGTTACAGGCTAGCGAAAAACTGTTGGATAAATGGCACAGTGGCACAATGGCGGCAAATGCCCATAGTAGGACGCACCTGTGCAGCTCCCCCTGGAGCTATTCCGGATGCAGTCATTGATGTTGCCAGCGAGGGCCATTTATATTTGGCATACCGCGGTTTGGGGTAGCTGGAGTGTCTTCTCTTGTTGATCTGTTTCTGTTAGGCTTGCTTTCCAGGTGCACTTCATCAGGAAAAACCTCCCCGAATAATCCGGATAAAATACCGATATTTACCAAGATTATTGAATTATCAAATATTGCTTAGTCCCCCCGATAACCTATCAGGGCTTATCTCAATTACGGTAATTTGAAGCCAATAACGTATATTTATTGACTAGGCTACGTAATGATTGTCCTGTAATACTTCGACATTATGTTGTTTATCGCAGATAAAGATACGGTCGGAAAACAGTAAACAAATGGTAAAATAGAGGCAACAAGACAACTTTTTTTTGGCAAATTTTTGATTTTTCATGACAAACACAGGGCATGTTACGTGCGAGCAGCACGTGAGCCTGACTTAGGCGACGTAAGGTGAACGTGGTGACTTAGCGATTCCTCGGACCCAAGCACGAAGGCTGAGTTGCGTCTCAACGCTCGAAGGCGGAGTTACTCCTACGACGTCCACTTCGATTGGACAAGAGAGAGAGAGAGAGAGAGAGAGAACACTTTGAGATTCCAAGATGAGAAGTTGTACAAGAAATCCAAGCTATCGACTACAACAGTCGATAGCTTCCTTATATAGTACTACGCTGCAGTCCGCCTTCGTCAGCGAGACTGCCACTACTACTAAGACCACTTCTTGGCTGTGTAATCGTCCACGTATGATCAGTAATCGTATCACAAACCCATCAGTCATCGTATAGTACACAATCAGTCATCGTCCCGTCATATCATCAGTCATCGTACAGTGAGTCACCA